CCCAGCCCTACCCTATGAGGCTCACAGTCTTATGGGGAGGGGGGGCACAGATCCATTCCCATACAGTGACAACCAGAGTGGGCAGGGCTGGGATTGGAATTGCTTACAGAACTTGGATTGCCCAGAGTGGGGCACCTGACCCAGCCTTACGGTTCAGGGAGAGCTTCCTAAAGGAGGGGATGGCTGACCTGAGGATGGGAGGATGACTAAGCAATTCTCCAGGGAAGTGGTAAGAGTTGAGGAAGAGTGTTTTAAGCAGCGGGAACAGCAAGTGCAAAGGCCCTGAGGCAGCATAGTGCCTGGGACGTTCCAGTGTAGCTAGAAGTGGATTTGGGTTTTATTCTGATTAAGATGTGGACATCTATTTGCATTGTTTGGGCAAAAACCAGAACAGCATAACAACTTCCCAAATGGTCTCTATAATTAATTCTTAATTAATTCTTATTTTTAATGGATTATTTTGTATGCCTCTGGTATCTCCTAAACAGACAGCTACGGTGTGGACAAGAAGCGGAAACGGGGGCTGCCCGATGTCCTTGGGGAGCTGAATAGCTCTGGTGTGTTCACTCTGCCCCTTTTCACATCCCTCTCCAGGTTACTGGGAGGGGATGACTGACCCCACTGCCCTGGCCCACCCCAGGTTGGGGAGGAGGGGCTGTTGGGATCCAGGGGTCCTCATCTCTGTCTTCCCTCAGACCCCCATGGCATCGAAAGCAAACGGCGGAGGAAAAAGCCGGCCCTCCTGGATCACTTCCTGCCCGGCCACAGCTCAGGTGGGTCCTGGCTCAGTGCAAGCCCCTGCCCGCAAGGTGGGCCGAGGGTGAGCTGCATCCCTGCTTTTCTGGCCTTTTCAGGTCCCCCAGGGGCTCCTACTAGGGCAGTGCCTTACCACTTAGCCAGCAACATAAAGTGGAAAGAATAGTGGTTCTGGACACGGTCTGGAGGCTCTGATCTCCACTGGGCCATTTACCTGCTGTGTGACCTTCACCAAGTTGCTCTACCTCTCAGAGCTTCAGGGCTCCTCTGAAAAGTCTCACCACATACCTACCTCATTGACCTTTTAAAATTTAATGTACTTATTTTTACAGACACTATATAATCACATAACTGCTTCGTGTGTGCTTACTCACTTAATCTGGGTAATCGCCCTGGGGGGGGGTGCTGTCATCTCCCCTCACGCCCCACCACCATTTTACTGGTGAAGAACTTGAGGCCCAAAGAGGCGATGTCTCTTGCCCAAGGTCACACAGCCAGTCTGAGGTGGAGTGGGGAGCTGCACCTGGGCATAGGTTCAGATTAGTGATGACACGTGAAACCACTAGTAGGGAGTAGACGGTGGATAAATGGGGGTGGTGTCAGAGCCAGCCAGCCTTGAATTCAGCCACCCTCCGGCCTCTTCTACCACGGCCTTCGTCTCAACTCACATGCCAGCCTCCAGTTCCCATGAATTCTAACCCTGTCTGGCTGCCATCCAAAGCCCTCCCACTCGCTGACCACTAGCTCTAAGAATGCTGTCCCCAACACCCCAGCTACCCCACGGCGCCCAGCTCCCAGCCAGCTGCCAACCACTCAGAGTCTGCTGAGCCTGGACCACTCCAGCCAGTCCCACCCTGAAGGTTTCAGTTATCACCTGTTGTCCCCGCAACCCACTGTAACCAATGCCCAACAGCTCTGCCCCTAGAAACAAACCCCCAATCCTAGTTTATTTCATCAACCTTCGATTCCCAATCCCCAAAGCCTCTCCTTATCAGCCACCTGTCATTCATCCACTTGTTCTATCACCCCGATTTCCCAGTGTCTAAAGTTCCCCTCTCTCATCCTTGTGGCAAAGCTGCCCTGGCACTAGAGTGTGGTGGTTAGGAGCATGGCCTCTGGAATCAGACTGGGTTTGAATTTGAGGACACAATTTAGCCACTGTATGACCTCTTTGGGCCTCAGTTTACTTAACTTGCAGATGGAGACCCTCCCTCTTAGGGTTCCTTCCAGAATTTAGTGAGGTCACATCACACAGTTATTTAGCACAGTGGCTGACATAGAGTTGGTGCCCAGGAGATGTTAGGAACTTGCCAGAAAGCAGGAATGCCACCTGCATTTGTTTAACTGCATTTGATCATGTTTAACTGCATTCATAGCAAAACCCCAAATAACAGGAGCTTCAATAGGATAGAACATTATTTCCCCTCTCACATAAACACAGTCCAGAGGTAGGTGGTCCATGGATGGTTTGGTGGCTGCATGATCATCAGAGACCCAAGCTCCTGCCATTTTCAGCTCATAGTTTCCACCTCATGGTCCAAGGTGGCTGCTGCAGCTGCAGCCATCACGCCCACATTTCAGCCAGCAGCACTTAGTCACATCAAGCTACAAGGGAGGCTGGGAAATAAGAGTTCCAGCAGTGCAGCGTCTCTTTCTGAGACAAGCGTAGTCAGCCTTTGCTGGTGAGGTTTGTCTTGTCTCAAAAAGAGAGACTCTCCCACAGTGACACTTACCATTTTACTGTACAATTTTGGGGCTTGTGACTTCTCCCTTGGGTCTCCCATGGTGTGGATGTTTCACTTTTCGGGTTGTCTTTATTTGGGGGGGGGCTTTGGAGCCTCCTCTTCTTCCTCATTCTTGGGGAAAACTCCCTAGCACTACAGGAGCATGGTTTCAACCCTGCTTCTGCAATTCACCTGTGGAGGGCAAGTTATTTTGCCTGTTTGCTTATTAAATGAGAATGATCCTATTTTTAGTTTTTTGAGGAACCTCCAAACTGTTTCCCACAGTGGCTGTACCAATTTACACTTCCACCAACAGTGTAGGAGGGTTCCCTTTTCTCTACATCCTTGCCAACATTTGTTATTCGTGTCTTTTTGATGATAGCCATGCTGACAGGTATGAGGTGCTATCTCATTGTGGTTTTAATTTGCATTTCTCTAATGATTAATGATGTTGAGCATCTTTTCATGTGCCTTTTGGCCAACTGTAATGTCTTCTTTGGCAAAATGTCTGTTCAGGTCTTCTGCCCATTTTTTAACTTTAATTTTTAATTTTTGATGTTGAGTTGTATGAACTGTTTATATTTTGGATATTAACCCTTTATCAGTCATATCATTTGCAAATACCATATGACCCAGTAATTCCACTCCAGGTATATATTTTTTAAAAAATGAAAACACTAATTTGAAAAGATACATGCACCCCAGTGTTCATAGAAGCATTATTTACATCAGCCAAGAAATGGAAACAACTTAAGTGTCCATCAATAAATAAATGGATAAAGAAGATGTGGTACATATACACAATGAAATACTACTCAGCCATAAAAAAAAAAGAAAACTTGCCACTTGCAGCAACATGGATGGACTTGGACGACATAAGCTTAGTGACAGAGAAAGACAAGTACTGTATGATACCACTTACATGTGGAATCTTAAAAAAGAAAAAAGCTAGTGAATATAACAAAAAAGAAACAGACTCACAGATACAGAGAACAAACTAGTGGTTACCGCAGGGAGAGGAAAGGGAGGAGGGACAAGATAGGGGCAGGGGATTAAGAGGTACAAACTACTATGTATAAAATGAATAAGCTATAAGGACATATTGTACAGCACAGGGAATATAGCCAATATTTTGTAATAACTATAAGTGGAGTATAACCTTAAAAAATCGTGAATTACTAGGTTGTACACCTGGAACATATAATACTGTACATCAACAAAATTATTGTAACAAAAAATTACAAAAAATTGTAATTATTTTGTAATTACAAATATTTTGTAACTTTGTAATTTGTAATTTAAAAAATTATTGTAACAACAACAAAAAAAGGGAGATAGAGAACGGTGATAGTCCCTACTCAGAGTTTCTTCTTGGCATTATAAGAGGCCACACCGATAAAGCATTTAGCAACAGAGGGGGCATTTGAGTTAGGGCCTGGCCAGAGGTCGACCCTAAAAGCCCACCATACTTTCTTCTTTCTTCTCATCCCTGCAGGCCTGTTCCTCCCGCCATCAGCACTGTTGCCAGACACAGACTTCTTCCCGGGCACCGTATCCCTCCCAGGCCTGGAGCCCCCCTGCGAGCCGGACCTCCTGGACGACGGCTTTGCCTACGACCCCGCTGCCCCCACGCTTTTCACCATGCTGGACATGCTGCCCCCAGCGCCACCACTCACCAGCGCTATCGCGGGCAATGGGGGTGCAGGGGCCGCGGTCGGGGAGCCCCCCGGCACCGAGCCGCTGACGCTGGACTCGTACCAGTCCCCGGGCCCCGGGGACGGAGGCACTGCCAGCCTCGTGGGCAGCAACATGTTCCCCAATCAGTACCGCGAGGCGGGCTTTGGGGGCAGCCTCCTGTCCCCGGGGCCTGAGGCCACGTAGCCCCCGCGGCGCTGGAGGAGAGGCGCTGGGTGGGGAGGGAGGTGGAAGGGGCTGTGCGAACCCAACCAGGATATCCAGCACCCCCCCATACCCTTGGGCGGCCCTTGGTCAGTCTTCCGACGTTCTCATCCTTCTGAATCGGACATCTTCAGCGCTGGCGAGAAACTCCGTAGCATCGGTTTCCCCTGAGCCCATTTTACAAGTGAGAAAACTGAGTCTGGAGAGGAAAAGGGGCTTGCTTGGCTCTCAAGCGCTCGGTTGTTAAAGCTGCTGCCTCAGCCCTCACAAGCGGGGGCACCTTCTCCAGGCGAATTCTGTTGTGTACATATGGGAGGAGGGTGCAGATCCCCCGCCCTCCGTCCCCAGGCTTGAAGGTGGGGGGTAGGTTGTTTGTTCTGAGTCTTCCCAATAAAGATGAGATTTTGAGCCTTGGGGGTCTCTTCTCTTCTCCGCTTGAGAAACACCCGCGGCCCTTACGTACAAAGTCTCCAGGATCTCCTGACACACTGCTTATCTCCTTCAAGCCCCGCCCCTCCCTCCTCGCCCGAACATAGGCCCCGCCCCTCGCGTGAGCGGAAGCACCGTCCGCCAGGCTCCGCCCCCCCTTCGCTAAGCCTCCCACTTCCGCTTCCGGTGCGGGCCGCGCGCGAGCGCAGCAGTGGGAGGCGGCGGCGAGCTGCCGAGTGCAGGCTGCTGGCCGTGACCTCCTGGCTTCGGGCGGGCGTCAGCCCAGCTTCGTCCTTGCCTCGACCTCTCCCCGGTCTGTTGTGAGCCTTCGCTCGGCCCCGGCCTCGAGGGCCGACCGCTCCGCACCCCCTCGGCCTGCCGGGCCTGAGGCCGCGCCCTGCTCCCGCCGTCGGGCCGAACTCGCCGCGTCGGACCCCGCCGCTTGCCACAGGTCCCTTCCTCTTGTCAAAAAAACTTAACCCGAACCCTCAGGCCCAGACCCGGTGCTCGGCCCTGTCCAAACCATCGGGCTCTGCCTCTGTCCTCCAGCCTCGCCCCGAAGCTCAACCCACCCCGTCCTGTCTGCCCGTTCCGCTTCCCTCAGTCTCTACCCTACCCTCCCTCCCCCAATTTAGATTCCGTCTTTAGACTTACGCCGCGCTCTGGTCTCTCCTTAACAGCACTCTCCCATGCTCCCCCTCCTCCCCCAAGGGTCGACGTCTTCCGTCCACGCCCTTCACCTGCCCTCGACCCCTACCTCCAAGCCACTACTCTGTTCCCATAAAATCTTTCTCCTCTTCGTCCACTTGCCTTCATCTCCGGACCCCTGCTACCCATACGCACACCCACAGATGCCCCCTGGTGGGAGCCCTTTTAGCTCTTTCCCCTCCCTTGAGCTCCAGCCCCAGCTGCTCCAGGTCTGTCTCCAGACCTTGCTTCCAACACTCGCTCCTTCCATTCCCGAACCTTTCATCCTTGATTCTGGCTCCTTGAACACAGGATACCCCTTTCCCAGGGATGCTCACTCCAGAATCACCCGAGGGGGCGGTTTCAGAATGCACAGGGTACTGGATCAGAGTTGTCTGGGATACACCTGAGCATCTGGAACATGGTTCCATAGCCTCACTTCCCCTCCCTGAAGCTGCTCTTCAGGATCAACTCTGTCACCAACTTGTTAGATGACATAGATTCTGCCTATATGGTTTTTAAAGCCCGTCTGACACCCCTCTCCTTATCGCTCAGGTTGAGGCCCCAGGCTTGGCCTCACCACGATGTGGCACGAGGCTCGGAAACATGAGCGGAAGCTTCGAGGTATGATGGTCGACTACAAAAAGAGGGCAGAGCGGCGGCGGGAGTACTATGAAAAGATCGTGAGTAACCTTTAATCTGGGCTGGGAGCTCTGCTGGAGGGTGGGGCCCTGGTCCTCCTGGTACGATTTGGGCTTGGAAATGCACTAATGTTAGAGCCCAGTTTCCTCAAGAGAATGTCCATGTTTTGAGCGTAATCATTGGTAAAAACTTGAGGCATTCTGTTTATTGTAGTATACTGTGCTGTTTGGTTTGGACTCAGTACAGAGCTGGGGTCAGTAGGAAGGAGGAAAGTCTTTGTAACACTCAGAGCAGTCCAGACATAAGATTGGCCACCTCCGAATGGTGTCTGTCCTGCTTATTGCTGTATTCGCAGTGCCCAGAAGAGCTCAGCATTCTTGAGGTTGAATTTGGCACCCCGAAGGAGTGCCATCATCGTTCACTAAGTCAAGTCTGACCATTTCCCTCCCCTGTTTGATGCTTTGATGCTTCAGTTGCTTTTGGAGAGAAGAGTGCACTGCATCTTGTGATCTAAAAGGCCCTTGTGGTCTGGCCTCTCAGCTTCATCCTTAGGTAGCTCCATTGGCCTTTTTTCCGTCTCTGCCACCACAGGGATTGAACCTGTAATGCATCCTCTCACCTATTTAACTGTTACTTGCTCTTGAGACCCCAGCTTGAAATGGCATTTGCGTACTAGGTTCAGTTCTCCTGTTAGATGGTATTTGTTATAGACGTTTTCATTTACCATCGCTTCACTGCCTCAGCCTCCTCCCTTGTCTCCTGGCCTCCAGTCCTGCCGCCTCTAATCCACCCTCCGGGGTGGAGGGGCCAGAGAGGTCTTTCTAAAGCACAAAGCTGACCCTGTCCCTCCCTTGCTCAGAACTTATCTGTGACTCCCTAGTGCCGGGCTCCTCAACCCAGCCTTTAAGACCCTACATGTTCTGGCTTTTACCACCCCCTCCAGACTCTTGTCACTCTGCTTTCTGCCTTGTTCCTTTGCTCACGCCATCTGGCGTCCTCAATATCTAGGCTACTTTTTCTAACAACAAAAAAAAGATGTATAAAGAGTTACCATTTTACCTCCCCAAATTATATAGCCCTCTCCAGCCACAGGGCCTTTGCATGAGCTTTTCCTATTACTCGATTAACTGCTGCCCATCTGTCAGATCTCAATCCTCAGGGAAGTCTTTCCTCATCCTCCATACTCAGCCGTCATAGCTCCCTGTCGTTCCCCTTTGTGGAATTTAGCACACATATCCAGCTCTGTAGCATTGGGGACTAGGTGTATTTGGGTCATGTTTGCATTCCAAGCTTGAGCCCAATGTGGTTTAAAAGAACAGATGAATAAAACATAGCAGTTACCATTTTAATTGGTCCTTCGCAGGCACCAGGCTCTGAAAAGAGCTTTAGATGCATGATTTCTTTGAATCCCCACAGTCACCCATGAGACAGAGGCTGCTGTTACCCTAGGAGAGGAGTCTTTGAGAGCGCCTCAGTTGCCTTCTGTCACCCGGGAGGGAACCACTGGGCTGTAGAGAGAGCCCCTTTCCAGTGGTGTCAGAATAACTATAACATGACCACAAGAGCAGGGGTTGGGTCTGTGTTGCTTATTGGTGAGGCCCCAGCAGTAGACCAAGAACACAGTCAGTGCTCAGGAGTGAATAGCTGCCATTTATTAAGGGTTCGTGGCGTGCCAGACCCTGTGCCTGCTACTTTGGCACATTCTTTCTAGTCCTTTCAGCAGGCCTGAGAGATTGGCATTGATCCCTGTGTTAAAGGTGATGCTGATAATAGTGGCTAATTCTGTTGAGCATTTATGTGTTATCCACTGTGCTGAGCACTTGATGCATCTCCACTTCATCACATTGTCACCCCCAGCCTGGGAGGTGGTTTGCTTTTTATTGATCCCATTTCACAGATGAGCAAACTGAGGCTCAGAGAGTCATGGCCTAGATCATATAGCAAGAGGGCAGAGCTGGCATTCTAACCCAGACTCTCTGACCCTGGACCTCTCTTAGCTCTTCACCTGGGCTTTCTACTGCAGAAATAGAAGTTCAGAAAGGTGCAGCAGCTTGTCCAAGGTGACACGGCCGGGAGGCAAAATACCAAACCATACCAGGTCCTTAAGAGTTTGGAGTCACAGGGCTCTGGGTTCCAATTCCAGCTATTCCACTTACATACCATGTGGCCGGGGCAAGTGACTGTATCCCTGAGCCTGGTTTCCTCTTCTGCATGTGAAATGATGTATCCTATAAAATCACGTTTGGCTGTGAATAACGGAGACCTAAAGCATCAATGGCTTAGACAAGACAGAAGTTTATTTCCTTTTCACATAAAAGCGCAGAGGTGGCCATTTCTGCTCAGGGACCGTTTTGTTGTTCAGCCATGCATGGCTTCTCTTCCCAGTGTTGTCTTAAGGTCTAAGAGGGCTGCTCAAGCTCTAGCCATCATGTTTTCATTACATCCAGCGGGGAAGAAGAAGGGAGGGAAAAGAGGCCAGGGGGCTCATGCCAGTTAAGAAAGTCTCTAGATGTTTGCACATGGTATGTCCACTCATATCCCCCTGGCCGGCAAGTAACCCCATGGTCACATACAGCTGTCAGGAAGGTTAAGAGGCGTAGACTGTATTCTGGGTGGCCTAGTGCCAGTTAGGAGTCTTGTTACTATCGAGGAAGGGGCAATGGATGTGGGTTGCCAACTCATGGTCTGCCACAAATGGTGGGGACAAGGACACCTCTCTCCCGGGCTGTTGGAGTGTAGTGAGATTGGGCACAGAGACCACTGAGGGCAGGCCTGCCCAGGGTAACTTGCTCAGTAAATGCCGGCTTTGTTGGTTCTGAGGTTGTTATTACCAAGTAGAGCTGGAATAGCGTCCAGGTTGATGGATGGTGTGGAGGAAAAAAGGCTGGAATTGGGCCACTTAGAAGGCCTGGGACTCCGTGCTCTTGTTCTTGTAGCTGGGGAGCTCCCTGAGCTCTGTTTTCCCCCTTGGGACAGTGGTGATGACAGGGTGACAGGGAAGAGCTTCAAGAATACAACAGTGTCTGTGGGGTGCTTTGTGGTGCAGGCCTGTACAAGCAACCATTGTCCCCGTACGTGAACGTGATCAGCATTCAGATCACGGCCACCAAGCTGTGGATGATAGCTGCTTTGAGGAGGGGATGGGGCTGTCACACGGGTCTCTCATCTTGCTCTTGGGCCTAGAGAGGCGGCTGAGGCGAGTGCTGAGGAAGCCGAGGTCAGCTGTGATGGGCCGGGCAGGTGTGTCTAGGCAGCCGGTTTCTCTGCTGATCTGTCCTTGGTGCCTGCTCTCTCTCCCTAGCTGACCCTAGTTCTGTCATTTCTCCTGTCCTTGTCAGCCTTCTTCTGATCAGCGGTTTGGATAAAGAAACAATTCTCTGTTGATGTGAAAGTGGGAAATAAAACATCTCAGCTCCGGCATCTCCTTCTCCAGGAGGGCCGGCTAAATGACGCATCACCTGGCTCCCCTATCCCAGCGCTGCCCACTCTAGGTCGTCACTGTAGGGAATGGGTCTGTCCCCCACACTGGACTGTGAGCCCTGAGGGCCAGGCTGGCTGTCTCAGTCAGTGCCATGGCCCTAGCACAACGCCTGCACCTGGAGTCGGTGCCTGCTTAACAGTTGACTCCATGAACTCCTCTGACCCCCTCTGATCCTGGAGATGTAATGATCCATTGGTTAAGAATAGATTTTGGGTCTGGAAGAAATATTTGTACATGTTCGTTGGAGTATGATTCACCATAGCCAAGATGTGGAAACAACCTAAATGTCCATCAGCTGATGAATGGGTAAAGAAAAGTGGTCCATACATACAGTGGAATATTATTCAGCCTTAGAAAGAAAGGAAATCTTGTCACATGCTACTGCGTGGAGGCACCTTGAGGACATTATGTCTAGTGAAATGAGCCAGTCACAAAAAGACAAACACTGCAAAATTCCACGTGTGTGAGGTCTTAGAAGCAGTCAGGACCTTAGAAACAGAAAATGGTTGTTGCCAGGAGCTGCGGGAGGGGAAAAGGGGAGTAGTTGTTCATTGGGTATAGAGTTTCGGTTTTGTAAGCTGGAAAAGTTCTAGAGATCCGGTGCAGAGCAAGGTGCATATAATTAACGCTATTGTACCTTTCACTTAAAAAAAAAAAGGAGTGGATTTTGGAGTCAGGACCATTTAGGCTCAGATCCTAGTTTTGTTTATGGCTGGTGTGATCAAGAGCAAGTGAGCCTCCCCACTCTGAGCTCCAGTTTCCTCATGGGACATGGGGGTAAGAGTAGCACCTTTCTCCCATGACTGAGAAGTTTGAGATGTACATAAAGCACTTAGTTCAGCGCCAGGCTTTTATTTTTATTATTACTATTATATTTTAATATTTATTTATTTGGCTGCACTGGCTCTTTAGTTGCGGCACACGGGATCTTAGTTGTGGCATACATGCAGGATCTAGTTCCCCGACCAGGGATCAAACCTGGGCCCCCTGCATTGGGAGCATGGAATCCCAACCACTGGACCACCAGGGAAGTCCCCAACTCCTGGCTTTGAGTACGGTTCCTTGACTTTTCCAGACGCTCCCAACAGAGCCAGTCCACGGACCCAGGTTTTTACTCCCCGCCCTATGCTATTTTCCTTGTTGTGGTGCTGGCACTGCCAGTGGCTTCACGCCACAGGCCGAAGTCCATCCTGCACACAGTGTCCCACGTGAGTCTTGGCTGTGGGAGCTGGGCATTTGGCCTGGCGCAGCCTCAGAACACGAGGGGCTCTTGGCCTTAGACCTGGCTGGGGCGGTCACGGGCCGAGGGTGCTGTGTGGCCCAAGGTGAGGGACTGAGAGAGGCAGGGGAGGTGCGGGATGAGGAGTTGGATTCCAGCAGCGCCACCCCGCTGGACTCCATGGGCTCGGGTGTACCCCACCCTCAGCGTCTTCACATGTGAGAGGAGAGGGAGAACGGCCTGGCGCCTAGTGAGCGCAGGACAGGTGGTAGCCCCGTAGCAGCTGTGGTCACTGGGGAGCGTCCTTCTCAGCTCCTGCTCGCCTGCCGCCTGGCGGTTGGGGCGGGGGGTGGAGGCAGAGCGGGAAGTGCAGGCGCTCGGGAGCTTGATGCTGACGGTTTTCTCCTGCAGGGGCTCGGCCTCCTCGACTGTCGGTGAGGGTTCGTTCTCTTTCCTTCCGTCAGTGTTCCTGAGCGCCTGCTGTGGGCCGGGCCCTGCTCTAGGCGCTGGGGATACAACAGTGAGCGACAGGTCCTGCGTCGTGGAAGCTGCGGTCTAGTGTGGGAGACAGACCCGTGAGGGGCGGTGCTCCGAAGCAGACGGTGCGGTTAAGGAGCTAGAGTCAGTCGGGTTGCGGGGGAGCTGTTTAGGCAGAGCTGACAAGGAAGGCGGCTAGAAGGAGATGGGGAATGTGTGCTGTGGCCTGGAGGCCGGCCGCCTGGAGCAGAGGCAGGGGAGAGAAGTCAGAGAGGGCCAAGCCGGAGCGGAGCGGCGAGGCTCTGAGCAGGCGGACGTGGCCTAATAGGTTTTAGCAGAGCCCCTCAGGCTGCCTCGCGGAAAATGGGCTGCAGAGGGCAAGGGTGGTAGCAGGGAGCGGGGAGGAGGCCAGGAGGCCGCAGAGCGGTTGGGGAAGGTGGCAGCGCTGCGGGGGAGGGGGGAGGCGGGATGGAAGTGGTTGGGCTCTGGGGCGGTGGTGCTGGGAGCTTGGCCAGGGTTTAGTGGGGAGCACCAGCAGCCCGGCTCGTGGCTCCTGTGGGTTCCACTGACGTGGCAGGGGCTGCAGCTCAGCCAGGGCCCGGCGCTCGGGAAGCTCAGTGGTGGGAGCTGCTGCGGCTAGATTTTATCCTTTCCTGACGCAGTTCTGGTGACTTGGAATCGTGGCTCCCCACAGGAGGCCTCAGGCCTGAGGCGATAAGCGAGTGTAAGGTGTAACATCAGGTGGTGGGAGCGGCTCAGGGGCCATTCTCCATCTAGGTACCTTTTTTCTTTAAAACAGCTTTATTGAGAGATAATTCACACACTGTACAATTCAGTGGTTTTCAGTATATTCACAGGGTTGTGCAACCATTTCCACAATGTAATTTTAGAAAATTTTCATAACCCCCAAAAGAAGCCCCATACCCATTAGCAGTCAGTTCCCCGCGCCCCGCAGCTTTGGGTAGCCACCAGTCTACATTCTGTCTCTATGGATTCGCCTGTTTTGCACATTTCACATAAATGGAATCATACAATGTGTGGCCTTTTGTGACTGACTTGTTTCGCTTAGTGTAATGTTTTCAGGGCTCATCGTGTGGTAGTGTAGATCAGTACTCCATTCCTTTTTACTTCCAAACAATATTGCATTGTCTGGATATGCCATGTTTTGTTTATCTGTCTTGCACTGATGGACATTTGGATTGTTTCCACTGTTTGGCTATTGTGCATAGTGCTGCTGTGAACTTTTGTGTACAAGTGTTTGAGTATCTGTTTTTAGTTTTTTCAGGTATATACCTAGGAGTGGAATTGCTGGGTGTCATACGGCAGTTCTTTGTCTAACCTTTTGAAGAACCTTATTTCTGCATACTCTTGTCAATATTACTTGCTATCATGTGTCCTTTCAACTTTAGCCATCTTAGTGTGAGGTGGTGTCTTGTAGTTCTGATTGCTGTGTCTCTGGTGAATAGTGACATTGATTGTCTTTTCATGAGCTTATGCAGTCCTGGTGTCTTGGAGGCTGGTCCTGGCCAAAGTGCTCACACCTGCCTCTGAATGAGTGGCCTTGGGGTGGGGGTGGGGTGAAGAGTTGGGGGAAGTATTTTAGGGAGGTGGGTCTTGGTACTGGCTGTGTAGAAGGTGGGGCCAGAGCTCAGAGCCTCTTGCTACCACCTCGAGAGGAAACCCTTCCCCTGTCTCCAGGGGTTAGGTGGCCCCCGTTAGTGCTGCCAGCCTTGTGTAGGTTCTTTTACCTCTGAAGTAGGGCCTCTTGGCATCAGAGGTGAGCCTGCTGCTAACTTGGTTGTGTGGGAGTGGCAGGGTTTGGGGCTCCGTTGGGTGGTGACCTCCATCTTGTCCTTCCCTGCAGAAGAAGGACCCAGCCCAGTTCCTGCAGGTGCATGGTCGAGCTTGCAAGGTGCACCTGGATTCTGCAGTTGCCCTGGCCGCTGAGAGCCCCGTTAACATGTAAGACTGGGTCTGGGGGTAGGGTAGTGTCTGTGACTGAGGGTTGGAGGGCCAAAGGGACCTGGGGTAGGACACAGACCTTCGGAGCCTGAGGGAGAGAAGCTTTGGCCTGCATGGGAAGGTGAAGGTCACTAGCTAAGGCTGTACGGCAGCGGTTGGGATAAAGGCCCCGTGGTGTAGTGGTTGGAGGAGGCCTCAGAGGGGAATGAGTGGGGCCGGGGCCAGAGGCCCAGATGCAGCAGAGAGTAGGTTGCCAGAGGGGGTGTTTTGGGGTGACTGGGCTTATAAAGTTGGCTACTAGGGCCTGGTTCGAGTTCTCCACTCTTGCTTGGCTCTGAAAAACAGGGCCCCAGTTTCCCCAGGGCCCTATTCTTGTCAGGAGCCTGAATGTAGATTTGGTGGGGGGGGGGGGGTGGGTGGCATAAGGGACTGAGGGGGGGGGGGGGAGGGTGGGGCTGGCATGGGGATCAGAGGGGTTGGGGGCCAGACTCCCAAGCGTGAGGTGGCAGGGAGCAGGTACTTTGTGTCCTGGGCAATGGGGACCCTAGGCTCCTTGCTCCCCTGCTCCCCACTTCAGGATGCCCTGGCAGGGGGACACCAACAACATGATTGACCGCTTCGATGTCCGTGCCCACCTGGACCACATCCCTGACTACACCCCGCCTCTGCTCACCACCATGTAAGCTGCCTCCCCCAGGGCTTGCCAGGCAGGGAGTCCTACCCAGCAGCACCTCTTCTTTCCTGAGCCCTGGCCTGCCTGTCACCATCCTGGGAAGGAAGGAGGTGTGCACGTGGGGAGGCCCCCCCACCCGTCAGACTGAGCCAGGCCCCTCATCCCCCTTCCTGCTGGCTTGGGATGGGGGTCTACCCTCTCCCTGTGGTCTCAAGACCTTGGCCTCCCCCAAAGCTCCCCAGAACAGGAGTCGGACGAGCGGAAATGTAACTACGAGCGCTACCGAGGCCTGGTACAGAACGACTTTGCTGGCAGTAAGTGACCTGGGGCGGCGGGGGAGTGGGGTTTTTTGGCGGGAGGGGCGGAGGGTGTCCCTGGAGACTGGAAGACCTCGACAAGGTTGGCAAGAAAAGTTATCCCAGGCCTTTCTACTAAGGGGCCTTGGGTTTTGGTCCCAGCTCTGTCATGGACCCGCTCTGTTCACATCCCGTTCTCTCTTGGGGCCCTCTGTCTCTGGAATTGGTACAGGAGATGTCTGGTGAACTAGATGGTCCTACCACAGTCACTTCCACATCCCATGCCCTCTAACTCTGTGGCCTTTTTTCCTAAAAAATTGGTGAAAATAGCAAGAATACATTATTTTCCTCTGTGTATTTCCCCCGCCTGCATGGGTCAGAATGTTAGCTCTGGAAAGGAAATTTGTCCTTGTTTTAAATGAATATTTAGACAGTTTGGCAGTTTGCCAAGCGTTCATATATGTCCAGTGTTCTTCTCCCAAGCCATCACTGTTAACACTTCACAAATGAGAAAACAGGTTTAGAGACTTTTCCCCTCTCTGGGCTTGTGGTGGTTCAGACCCTGACAAACTTAGAGTTTTTTGTCTCTGTTACCTCAGTACATCTGCATAACCTCCCAGCAAGGTAGGGGTGATGCCCCCATTTTACAGATGAGGATATCGAGGCTCAGTGGTTGCGGGGGGACACCATGTCCAAGGAATTGGGGTTCTCACCCTGCCCTTAACCACTGCTGCCTCCTGCTGGACAGCTCTGAACTTCAGCTCGCCTCCTGAGAAGGACTTTGAGACACCCCCCCACACACTCCCAGGATCTCCCTGTGAAATTAAGGGCCACACACTCGTCCCTTAGCCTGGCCAGTGTCGGTCTCCTCCTGGAGAAGGGCGATAAAGGTGGATTCTGTCCCTTGGGGTGGTTGTGAGGGCTCGGTGAGGAGTGCATAAGGCCCCGCACCGCGCCTGGCAGTCAGCCCTCCCAGTGGGTTCACTGTCCCCGTGTTTGTTTCTAAAATAGGTGTTTTAGCATCTCTAAAATCAGAGATTGTCAAATTTTGGCAATCACTGAGGCCTTAGAATCAGGGGGAATGCGTCATCATTGATGCCGGTGTTGTTTTTGCCTTCCCCCCAGGCTACATAGATTCTTGGTGACGGAGCGAGGGTTTCCCTCAGTTCTGACTCTATTCATTCATTCATTCCCACAGTTCCTGAGCACCTGTGGTGCGTCAGGCACTCTTCTGGGAGCAGGGGTCTAGTGGGGGAGCCACGTAATCATGAAAGCAGGTGGTAGTCACAGCTAAGGCGCCGTCACGACAGATGTGTGCTGTTCTGAGGTGCTTGGCCAAGGCTGGCTCAGGGAAGGGTGGGCAAGATTTCCCCAGTGAGGACAGGCCGCTGGACTCCGGGCCACGAGGACAGCCCTGTGGGGGAAGGGGGCGGGTGGCCTTGGGGGACAGGGAGGGCTGGCGTGGCTGGAGCTCACGTGAGGCAGGTCAGTGGGGCTTTGTGGACCTACCAGCAGAACCGTGGAGGCTGCGGGGAGGGCTGTACCATGGCCCGCCTGGGCCTGCCCGGCCCACGCACCTCGCTTTACAGATAGAAGAGCTGAGGCCCACCAAGGCAAGGCCAGGGTCCCACCGGGATTCGGGCGTGTCTCACTGCAGGAAGACCCGGGGAGGCTCCAGTACATTGCTGAGCTCCTCGAGTTGCGTGTTGTGGATGAACGAGAGCCCAGATTAACCGCGCTTAATTTAAACTGGCCCACAGAGGCACAGAGTGGAGTGGCCCATGGGGTCCAGGTGACTGACGTCCAGTGCTCAGGATAGCTTTGTCGTTCTGAAGGGTCCAGCTGCAGACCTTCCTAACAGTGGTAACAGTATCAGCGCCAAAATACAACGCGCTCATTCTGCCAGTGATCCCATTTTACAGAAAAGGAAACTGAGGCACAGAGTGGCTCAGTTCCTTGATCAGGGTTGCATGGCAAGTCAGTGGTGTCACCAGGGCCCTCCTGCAGATGCTGTTCCTCACCACACACGGTGTGATTATCTGGGAATCCGTGACTCTGCCCCTGGCTGTGCTTGGGTCACACCTGCCTTCCTACCCCCCCCGTTCTTGTGTCCCCCCTGAATTCCCAGTGTCCCCAGCCCCCCCTGACCCACGTGCCTCTTGCCTTGCCCCAGTCTCAGAGGAGCAGTGCCTGTACCAGATCTACATTGACGAGTTGTACGGAGGCCTCCAGAGACCCAGTGAGGATGAGAAGAAGAAGTGAGCCGGGGTCTGGGGCACCATGGGCTTGAGGGAGGCAGGCAGACTGTGAGCCCCACAGGGCACAGCCTCGTCCATCCTGTCCACCTTGGGCTCCCCAGAGCCGGGGCTGGTGGTTGGCACAGGGCAGGCGCTCGATTGATCAATGTTTAGAGGAGGAAGCAGCCGCTGGACGGGAAGGGTCTGCTGACAAACCTCTACACTGCGTTTGCAACCCATGGGATGGTAGGAGGTGAGTTAGAGCAGGGAGTTAGAGCAGGCCCTGGGCTGGACAGGCCTGGGTTTGAATCCTGCCGGTGAGGACTTCCCTCCGAGCCTTGGCGGGCTCCCCTGTGAGAGGGCTGGCGGCATGCCCCCGGCCGGGACTTTCCAGGGCTGCAGGAGACGGAGCTTGTGAAGTGCTTGTCCTCTGCCGCCGTGAAGGAAGCTTGTGGTCAGCAGCGGCTGACGTCGCTCTGGAGAGGGACCTCTCCAGGCTGTGTCCCTTGAGGAATGGCCCCCCTTCGCCAGGACAGCCGCTGCTCCACTTGTTCCCCAGCGGTCCTGGAGCCCTGCCTCCTTACCACCTGCTGCCGAGCAGTTCCCCCACTGCGATCCTCAGCGCTTGCTGCTTCCCTCCATCTGAAGAGTTCTCACGGTGTGGCGGGAGCTTCTTGATGACTCTCATCCTTATCCCTGACCCCCCCCCGCCCCCGCCCCGTTCAGGACGAGGCTGGCACTGGGACGGTGTCAGGGAATGTTGACTAAATTCAGCAGCAGACGTGCACTAGGCCCCTGTGCCGTTCTGGACCAAGCAGGGCCATGCTGTTACCCAGGATAACTCGGGCCTGCCCTTGCAGGACTCACAGTCTGGGGCGGGGGGAGACAGATCCAGTAGGAGTGGGGCTGGGGATCTGAGGATGGTGCTGGACCCCGCCTGAGGGAGGACTTTCTGGAGGATGGTGCATTGGAGCTGGAGGAGGAGGGAAGAGCCGGTGGGAGGTGACCACAGAGGGTTCTAGGCTGAGGGGAAACGTGAGTGAGGGTCTGCAGGCAAGGGTGCCGAGCTGCCCTGGAACTTGGGAGGGCGTCGTGTGGTGTGCGGGCCCTCGAGGCTTGGCCTGGGCTGCATCCTGCCCATAGTCTCTGCCCCCGCCCCGCACCTCCCTGGCTCATGGCTCCCCTGTCCCAGGCTGGCGGAGAAGAAGGCTTCCATTGGCTACACCTATGAGGACAGCACGGTGGCCGAGGTGGAGAAGGTGGCAGAGAAGCCGGAGGAGGAGGAGTCACCGGCCGAGGAGGAGAGCAACTCGGATGAAGATGAGGTCATCCCCGACATCGGTGGGGTCCCCTCTCTGCCCTCCCCCTCCACAGTCCCTGGGCGTCGTTTTCGTGTCTCGTCCCGCCCCCTCTGTGGGGTGCCCCCGTGCTTAGGAGCCCCGCCTGTCCTGCCCCTGTTCCAGGGCGCTACTGTCCTCCCTTCTCACTCGTGTCCTCCTGGTCCAGCCTCCCTTTCTGTGTCTCTCTCCTTCCTCGTTTCTAGGACTCTGCTTCTATGATATTGTCAGGTTCTGAGTCTGTCCTCCTTGCTTGTGTCAGCCTCTCTGTCTCTCCCTCCCCTTCTCTTTCTCTCTCTTCTGGAAAACAAGTGTTCCTCCAGTTATAGAGCCTCATCCCCCATGCTGCCACCCACCTCCACCTAAATGCCTGTCTTCCCTCCACCTCTCACCCTTTCTCACTCAGCCCACCCACTGTTTATTCAGACTTACTCAGACATATGTGAAGTGTCCGTCCCCCTTCCACTGAGTCATCCAGCATCTGGCTTCTGAATGCCTGTGACCCGAACCCCCTGCCTCCCGCCCACCTAGATCTTCAGCCGCCCTCTGTCCGTCCCCCGTTCACTCCCCCGTTTACTTCCTCCACATCACACACCCATCCCGGCCCCCACCCACCGTTTGTTGTGCTTGCCTCTGGCCAAGCCCTGCGCCAGCCTGGGGATGCCAAGATGAGCTGACTCGTTCCCTTCCTGCAGAGGCCTGCGGTCTGGTGGGCACCCCCACCCCCAACTCCCGGGGCACTGCCCCTTCTCCCCTTCTTCTCGCTCGGCTTTGGTCCCTGACAGCCTTTCTTTTGGTGTAGACGTGGAGGTGGACGTGGACGAACTGAACCAGGAGCAGGTGGCAGATCTCAACAAACAGGCCACGACCTATGGCATGGCCGATGGCGACTTCGTCAGGTGAGGCCGGCGGGCTGACGCCTCTCCACGTCCTGTGGACCGGGCATATGTTGTTACCCCTCTTCCCGAGCAGTTGTGTGCCTGGCCCTGCGCCAGGGCATCACACACAGGCTCCTGAGCTCGTGGGGTGGGTACTTGTGACTGGCTTCAGCCTTGTCGAAGCGGAGGCTGCCCCCAGCTGTGTGACCTGAGGCCACCGGACTCCTGGAAACTCCCGGGTTCCTGGGCCTGGTGGACAGCGCCCTCCAGTGGAGAGGCTTCGCTCCCCGGATCATTCACTCGCAATTGCTGGTTGAGCCTCTGCCCTGTGCCATACCTGTGTGGGTCACATAGACCGGTCCCATCTGACAGGGTATTGAGCTGGAGTCTGAGTACTCCCGAGTCTGAACACAGCGTCCTCTGCCCAGAACTCTCCATGACTCCCACCTCCCTCAGGCGCAACCAGCCTGCTCACCACGGCCACAGAGTCTCACCTGTCTGGTCTTCTACCCACACACTGCACCCCTGCCAGCCTCCATGGCCTCTTTACCCCTTCGGTGCCTGAGGCCCCACCTGACCTCGGGGCCGCTCAGTGTGCCGTGGGCTCTGTCGGCACCTGCTCAGCTCACTCTCGCAGGTTTCTCATCAGCTGTCACTTTTCTCTGGGTGGCTTCCCCAGCCTCCCTGTTGAAGGCTGCAGCAGCCTCTACCAGTTCCCTGGACTTCCTTCCCTCTTCCGAGATTTACTTTCCCATCGAGGCTTTCACCGTCTAACATACCATGTTATGTGACCTTGGTCATTGTGCCTCTTCTCCCCAGAATGGTAGCCCAAGGGGGTGGGGATTTTTGTTTGTTTTCAATAATCCCTGATACCTGAAATAGCACCTGGCATGCGGTGCGTGCGCAGTAATAGTGCAAAATGAATGCGAGACCCCCAGGATGGCTTGGGGTTTCTCACTTCCTGCAGTGACACTGCCTGTGGCCTGGCCCCTCCTCCATCGTGCCCCTCGTGCCCCTCTGTAGGATGCTCCGGAAAGACAAGGAGGAGGCAGAGGCCATCAAACATGCCAAGGCCCTTGAGGAGGAGAAGGCCATGTACTCGGTGAGGGCTGGGCCGGGGTGGTAGGGCAGGTGTGTGCCTCATGGATGGCACACCCTCACCAGCCTCGTACCCACCCTGCTCCAGGGCCGTCGCTCCCGGCGCCAGCGGAGGGAGTTCCGGGAGAAGCGGCTAAGGGGCCGCAAGATCAGCCCACCCAGGTAGGATGGGTTCTGCCCCATGCCCCCACCCTGCCAGCACCAGTCTGTCAGGGCTCTGGGGGAGGATCCAGGGCTCAGGAAGACCTTGGGGGCAAGCTCGCTGCTTGCAGGCAATTCCCTCCTAGTAGGGCAGTGAGTAGGGAAAGTTTGGAGTAGGCGTGGCTGTGAGGGGCGTGTGGACACCTGCCCTGCCAGCCATTCCCCTCACTCTGCTGGACTCGGGACGCTTGCCGTGCTCCCTGAGAGCCAGTGGCGAGGTGGCATGGGGTGGCTGGAAGGGTTGAGAGCAGAGTCAAGGGGCACGGGCCTGGCCCTGGACCCTGACCTGGTTCTGCTGCTTGGCCGCTTCCTCACTGTCAGAGTTTGGGCAGGTGACTTTCTCTCTTGAGCTGCAGTTTCCTTTTTGGAAAAGGGGCACCATCACCTCCCAGGAGAGGGGCTATGCCAGTGCCCACAGCGAGGTCTCGGGCAGGTTTGGATGCGGCAGTCTGATGTGGAGAGCCCAGCCTGGGGATCCATGCAAACCCATGCTCTTTGACACATCTCCTCTGTTTAATGGGAGTCATTGAGGGTTGCTGTGAAGCTTAAGGGACCTGTTGTGGGTTCAGGCTTTGATGTGCGGTCTGGAAAATATTCCTTAAAGAGTTGTAGAGGTGCAGGTCAGTGTAGTGCATAAAAGCTTGGACTCAGGGCCATGTGGCCTGGGTTGGAATCCAGGCTCTTTTCGTTTATGAGCTGTGTGGCCCTGGGCAGGTGACTTCACCTCTCTGGGCCTGTTTCCTCAGCTGTGAAGTGTGAAGAATTACAGTACCCACGTCAGAGAGTTGTAGGAAGAGCGATTGAGTTCACTGAGTAAAGCACTTGGTGCCTGGCGTATAGTGTGCCTCTAAGACGCGTTAGCTCTTCTAGTTTTAACGTCATCAGTAGGAAGCCAGGACCCAGTAGAACCAGGGACTTGGAGTGGGAGGAGTGTCGCTTCTAGTCTAGGGTCCAGCGGCCAGCCAGGTTGGAGGCTGCTGAAGTCCTTGTTGCTCAGGGTCAGGGTGGGTCTGGCACATTGTGGGTCAGGGCTGAGGTTCAGGCTTCGGACATATGTGAGGTGAGTAGGAGGAGGGATCAGGGCCCGTAACCTGGCCAGCAGCCCCCTCATCACTGTGCCCAGCGTGTGGCCTTGGGCGCCCAGGTTGGGGGTTGGCCTTACTTCTGTGCGCGCTAATCCCAACCCCCCCACCTGTCCCACCCCGTTCTTCTCTTCATAGCTACGCCCGCCGAGACAGCCCCACCTATGACCCCTATAAGCGGTGAGTTTGCAAGGCCCAGCAGTCCTCCTCATGGAGGGCAGGGGTGGTGAGGAGGGCCAGGGGGCCCACCCTGTAGGCTGCCCTGAGATCACAGACTGGAGAATGTGTTCTGGGGGTCCGAATCATTTTTTGTTTTCTAGAGTGTTAGCCTGCTTTCCTGATTTCTTTTTCCTTTAAACGTGAACCTTAAAAATTTTTCTCATTTAGCTGTAACGTAGTCTTGTGTGGAAAATGACCAGACGTGGCAGGAAGGCAGGACTTAGAAGTCAAGTCCCTTTAATCTGAACTCCCGGAAATAAGCAGTGAGAAATAACAGGCACAGAAGGGCCTGGTTGCACACGCGTGTGTCTCCTGGTTGTGGGAGTGGTTGGGACAGAGGCTTTGAGGGTGACAGACCTCGGTCTGACCCCAGTTCCCTTTGCAGAATGGTGTGGGAGGGACCCCTCGGGGCTCCTGGGAGGATAGGTGAGATGAGGCAGGTACACCTTTTGATGAAAAGTCTGGCACAGTAAGTGCTCAACCCGTGGGCGCCATGAGGGATAAGGTATACTTTTTTTTTTTCACAAAAATGGAGTTAAATCACAGTTAATGCTTTAGAACTTGCTTTCCACCTGACCTGACATCTATGTTGAGGAAATCTTTTCCTGTTACATTACAGATGTGCTCATCCCTTTTTAATAGTACAGTTTGCTGTTCCTCCTTTTCCTGGTTGTTCTGAGAAGGTTTCCGTGGTCAGGAATCCGATCCTTGCACAGCTGGTGTCTTTCTGCCCATTGGCTCTGCTCGTTGCGCTGGTGGCTGCCGTTGCTCGGGGCTCCGCTGTTCTGATTTCTGTTGCTCTGTGGTGGCTTCTGTTAGCCGGTGGGCAGGCTCCAGGAGCCTGGTGTTCGAGCCCCCTGCTCCCTGCTCTGTAGGTCGCCCTCGGAATCCAGCTCCGAATCCCGCTCCCGCTCCCGCTCCCCGACCCCAGGCCGAGAGGAGAAGATCACGTTCATCACCAGTTTTGGGGGCAGCGATGAGGAGGCAGCCGCAGCCGCAGCTGCAGCAGCTGCGTCAGGGGCCGCCACAGGGAAGCCTCCCGCGCCCCCCCAGCCAGGCGGCCCCGCACCGGGACGTAATGCCAGCGCCCGGTCGGTAACGCTCACGCTGCCTGCCCTACACCCCGGCCGCCGTGGGGGGGACTCGGGACGGCGGGGGGCCACGGCCCGGGCCGGCGCTGACCCGCCCTCCGTGCCCCACCTGCAGCCGCCGCTCCTCCACCTCCTCCTCCTCCTCTTCCGCCTCGAGGACCTCCAGCTCCCGCTCCCGCTCCAGCTCCAGCTCCCGCTCCCGCCGCGGCGGGGGCTCCTACCGCTCTGGCCGCCACGCACGCTCCCGCTCCCGGTCCTGGTCGCGCTCCCGCTCCCGCTCTCGGCGCTACTCGAGATCCCGCAGCCGCGGCCGGCGGCACTCAGGTGGGGGCTCTCGAGATGGACACCGCTACTCCCGTTCGCCTGCCCGGCGTGGCGGTTACGGGCCCCGGCGCAGAAGCAGGTGCGTGGGGCTGGGGTGTGGGGACTGGGCTGGGCGTGGGCCCTGTTTCGGCGAGACCAGGCTCTGGGAGGGGAGACCTGGGATTGGTGGGGGGGAATGTGCTCACTCCAGATGTGGTGCCGGGCTGGAGCACAGCCTCCCTTCTCAGGGATGCAGTGGGGAGGGAGACTGAGCTGCGCTTGTCACGGGAAGTCCCCAGGTGTTTGCAGCTGGCGACCCTTAGGACTGGGGCACTCCGTGGGCAGGGGCCGGAGAGTCAAGGCAGCCCTTTGAGGGAAGGCGGGGCGTGAGGCAAGCGCTGCACATGGGGCAGGAGGAAAGTGACCTAGGGACGGGAGCATCCCTCCGGTCCTATTCCCGGAGGGGGCCTGGTGGATGAGAGCATGGACTGCGGAGCCCCTGGCTGGGTATGGATTCTGGCCCTGCTAGCGAACTCTCAGGGCCTGTTTCTGCATCTGTAAAAGAGATACAGTCACAGTGTCCCCTTCATTGGGTCGTGAAGTTGTGACAAGTGAATTCTATGTAAGTGTTTAGTGCAGGGCCTGGCACTCGGTGAGTGCTTTTATTGTCATCAGCGTCATTACCCGTGTTATTGTTGTGTGGATCTCAACGTCAGCTACGTACAAGGTCTAGCAGGTAAAATAGAGGGGCTGCGTGGGCCCCGGTGAACCGGGAGCACACGTCCCATCTGCTGGGCTCGTTGGCCACTCAGTGGCAGGCGTGGTGTTGCTCAGTCTTCTGGTTTTTCAAGAGAAGTTGGGTTGGATTTTTAAAGGACAGCTCTTGTTTTCTCAATATTGCCAACAAATTTGAATTTTGTAAAAACCCAGGACAGTCCCACCAGAATCAGTGTGTGGCGTTGGTTTGGCTTCTGGGTCGTTCCCTGGAGCCTGACACGGGGCAATGTCAGGAGAAAGACTGGGGTCAGAGGGGGACCCTGGTCACATCTCTGAGGCCAGCCTGAGGGTCCTGAGCAGAGAGAGGGTGAGGCTTGCACGTCCCCAGACTGGATCCTGTGGGTCTGTGCTGCAGTCTTGCAGGGGGGCGGGGGGGTCATCCCCACTAGTGGCGAGACCCTGGACCTGGCAAGGTGAGGAGACCGTGAGCATACAAGGGGGGGCTGCCAGCCAAGTTCTGTCCTCCCAGAAGTCACCTCTCAGAGAAGTGGGTGAATGGGTGTCTAGTGAGAAGTGAAGAGCCATCTTAGGGCCGGTATATCTAGAGGGCGGTCTCTGTTTAGAGACTGAGGGAGGCCAGGGAGGATTTCTGAGGAAAGTAGCGGGAGAGGAGTGGAGACACAAGGACCCCAGGGCCTCGGAGGAGGCTCGTAGATTCAGTGCCTGGGTGGGGCGTTGCGCACCTGGGGTCCCTGGAGCCTCACGGCCTCTCTCCTGCCTCACCGCACCCCCAGGAGCCGCTCCCGCTCAGGGGACCGGTACAGGCGGGGCGGCCGGGGGCCCCGGCACCACAGCAGTAGCCGCAGCCGCAGCAGCTGGTCCCTCAGCCCGTCCCGAAGTCGCAGCCTGACTCGCAGCCGCAGCCCCAGCCAGAGCCGCAGCCGCAGCCAGAGCCGCAGCCGCAGCCCCAGCCGTAGCCGCAGCCACTCGCCGTCGCCCCCAAGGGAGAAGCTGGGCAGGCCGGCAGCGTCCCCCGCTGTGGGCGAGAAGCTGAAAAAGTGAGTGGGGCAGGGCTGGGGGAAGGGGATTGTGAGCTCGGGTGAGCAGGGTGACTCCACTGTGCTCTTTTTGAAGGAACTTGGTCCTGTCCTGGGAGGTCTGAGGGGGCCACAGCTCTGCCCTTAGGGGCTCTGAGGAGTCACGCCCTTGCCTTGGGTCGGGGGTCAGAGGGGGACATGGCCCTGTCCTGCAGGGTTCAGGAGGGACCTGGTTTCTCCCTGGGGGGTGTTAGGGGCCCATGGCCTTGGCTGTCTGCTCTGAGGGCAGTGCTGAGGGCGCATGAGGTCAAAGGTGGCAGCTGGTTTTTCTTCCTCCCAGGACCGAACCTGCCGCTGGTAAAGAGACAGGAGCTGCCAAAGTCAGTAAGAATTTGGAACTCGCCCGTGTAATTCCCGCCAGCAGCAGTGCCCGAGAGCTGGGCCCGGTGGGCCTGCAGGGGGGCCCGGGTGGGCCGGGAGATCCAGCCCCGGGGATTGAGATCTGTGCCTCCCTTCCCTCCTCAACTGTCCACTGGGGCTCCCAGACCCTCGTGGCCAGTCTCCACAGCCTGCCTGTCCTCCACACATGCCCCCGCAAGTCCCAGGCTCTTGGATGAGGTGGGTTGTGGAAGCTCCGGGACACCCACCCGGTCTCCTGCCTCTTCTCCCCCTCCCCAGCCCAAGCTGACGCCCCAGGAGAAGCTGAAGCTGAGGATGCAGAAGGCACTGAACAGGCAGTGTATGTCCCGCCACCTGCCCCTCCTCCTTCTGGCCTGGCCGTGGGGAGGCCCTGCCCTTTGCCAGATAGGAGGCCCTTTGGGGAGGAGTGGGTGTGCACCTGCCCTGCGGCCACCACGTTTAGGGCCTTGGCAGTCTGGTTGGCCTCTCTGAGCTCAGCTTCCACATCTTGGGGGCGGGGCCTTGAGGGCACCCCTCATCACTGTGTCTCTCCCTCCCCACAGTCAAGGCGGATAAGAAGGCAGCTCAGGAGAAGATGATCCAGCAGGAGCATGAGCGCCAGGTACGGGTTGGGGTGAGGGCATAGGGCTCACACAGGGTGCCGGCCCGGCCCCGCCCTCACTGCCATCCTGCCATCCTGCCATCTCTGCCGTAGGAGCGGGAAGACGAGCTTCGAGCCATGGCCCGCAAGATCCGTATGAAGTAAGACCCCTTCCCTCCCACCTGCCTCTGGGTTGCCCTGCGTTCCCCACCACCTGCTCCGATCCAGAGCCCTGGCCGATCCCTCTGGGTGGATGAAAATAATCAAAGCCCTCGCCTGGGCTTCATGTTGTCCCCCAGTCTCCTTCCCATCCCCAGCTTACTTCGGCCACTGTGACCTCCTCCCAGCTCCGCCAGCCTCCAGCTTGGGTTACCTTTCCTGCTGTTCCCAAGATACCCACCCACTTCCCTCCCTTGCTGAACTCAGGGGTCCTTCCTGACCATCCTTTGTGGAGTAGCACCCCAAAACACGACACCCTCCAGCCCCACTCTGCTTTTCCTCATGGCACTAGTCTGCACCTGGTATCCCGGTGTGCACTGTCCGTGTCCTTCACTCATGCTTGTTCGTGTCCCCGTTAAGAAGTCGGGTGTGGCTGCTGGGTTCCTGCTGTGTGCTTTGCCCCTAGAACACTGGTGTTCGATAAACGTTTGCCGAACGGAACGGCTGAATGCAAGCCAGCCCCGCGCTGGGAGCCAGGGCCTCTCCCCTCTCCCATTCTGCTGCAGTTCTCACCTTGACTCTTCCCCTGCAGAGCTGAGTGGCTCAGAGCCTGGGTCAGGCAGACTCGGGGTTCATTCCCAGCTCCGCCTCTCTTGACTGTGTGGCCCTGGGGTGGGCACTGGCCCAGAGTCTGAACAGACCTTGGTGCCAACTGCACAGGGTAACTCAGGGATTAGTGTCCATAAAGTCTCAGCCCACCCAGTACCCATGGGCAGAACTGGAGGCCGTAGTGCTTGGTGTTGGCAAAGAGGAGAGTTGGTCAGTCGCAGGGTCGGGTCACCTGTTGTTTCTGGTTCCACCCTGTGCTTGCTGTGGGTCCTTGGACAAGCACTTTAAGCTCTCTGAGCCAGGACTCGCTATATGAGATAGACGTAACGAGGCAGCCACCTCCGTGGGGTTCTCCCGCTAAGGCACCTGGTGTGTGGTTCCTGGCCTGTGGGGAGGCTTGATGGCTGGAGCTGCTGCTGTTAGTTGTTTATTACAGGCACATCACGTGCTGGGCTTCCAGGGCTGCCATGTGCTCCATCGGGGGGTGGAGGAGCAGAGTGCCTAGGGACTCAGCGTTGTAGTCAGTCGGACCTGGGTTCTGATCCTGCCTCTGCTACCCACCAGCTGTGCGCCTTCCTCCTGTCTGAGCCTTCAGCCTATAGATAAGCCTAAGTTTGCTTATCTACCGGATGGGGATGGAATAGTTGTCCCAGCTCTTAGGCTGGTGGGGAGGATTCCGTGAGATCAGAGCCAGGCACGAAGGCACCCAGTAAGTGTAGCCCTTGGGGTTGCAAATCCTGGTCCTTCTGACAAAGACCAGTTAAGCACTTAGCATGTAAGTCCCTTTGTTCTGAGGCTGTGCCCTGAGTGTGACAGGAAATTATCGAACTCTCCAGCCCTTCAGCAAGCCTTTCATCGCCAGGCAGACTGGGATTCAGATGCTGGCTCTGCCAGCCAGTAAGTATCCCCTCTCCGAGTTCAGTGCCCTCATTTCCAAGTGAGGAGAGGAGCAGGACATGCCCCCTTGGCTTATTCTTCCACCTGGACTAGGTTGTCGGCAGCACCTGCCCTGACAGGGACCCAGCCAGCCATCGAGTTCAGTTCAGTGTTATCGCCAGCCGAATGCCCACCCCTTCCCCTGGTTTGCCTCCCCTTCCCCGTGCAGGGAACGGGAACGCCGAGAGAAGGAGAGAGAAGAATGGGAACGCCAGTACAGCCGGCAGAGCCGCTCGCCCTCCCCCCGTTACAGTGAGTGTCCTCGTGGTCGCTTGGTCTGGAGAGCCGGGCTGGAGGCTCTGTGGCATTAAAAGAAGAGATGTCAAACTGGGTTACAAAAAAACGATGGTAGGGCTTCCCTGGTGGCGCAGTGGTTGAGAGTCCGCCTGCCGATGTAGGGGACACGGGTTCGTGCCCCGGTCTGGGAAGATCCCACATGCCGCCGAGCGGCTGGGCCCGTGAGCCATGGCCGCTGAGCCTGCGCGTCCGGAGCCTGTGCTCCGCAACGGGAGAGGCTACAACAGTGAGAGGCCCGCATACCGCAAAAAAAACCCACAAAAAACAAAAACAAAAAAACCATGGTACATTTTTTCCACATCAGCCTTCTACAAATTAAAACTTTTAAGTCACACACACAACACACGGTGATTGCTTCAGTCACAAGGGACTTACAGGAATTGGAAGAAAAGCTCATTCTTAGCGCGTGGGTGTGGGCCAAGGGGCACAGGTAGCGTCCAGCAGTGGACACGCTGGAAGCGCCGGCGCTGCCTTAGCTGGAGACACTGGAAGCCCAGCCCTGGAGCCCACTCCTGGTCCTGGGCACTTACTTTGTTTTCACCCATCCTTTCTTTCCAGGTCGAGAATACAGCTCTTCCCGAAGGTAATAAGCAGGCTGGCCCAGCTCCCTGGGAAATCACAGTTGCCCTTTGGCACGAGGTCCCAGCCCTGATTGCTCCGTCCCGACGCAGCCCCCTCCAGTCCCCTCCAGTCATAGGGCCTGGCCTCACCCCTCGGGAACATCCCTCTGTGCAGCTGAATTCCCCATCGCTGAAGCCCCAGTGGTCCCGAGCATGTCGGTGTATGTGTGCACGTGCCTACACAGCAGGGCTCCCTGCTTCCTGCCCAGCCCTCATGGGGCCTCTCTCTCCCCTCTCTCCAGGCGCTCAAGGTCCAGATCCCGAAGCCCCCATTACCGACATTAGGCAGAAGCGTGGAGGGGCAGAGGGATGAGGGGGTGGGGTGAGGGCTCAAGCTGTGATGCTGCTGGTTTTATCTCTAATGGAATAAAATCACACATTATTTAATTCTCTTCACCTGGCCTCCGTGTCGTCCGTGCGGTTGGTGCAGGGCTCCCAAACTCCAGTGCCCACCAGCCAAGGCCAGCTGAGGAAGGAGCTTGGTGGGTTCAGCTGTGGCCCAGGTGGAGGTCTGGGCATTGGACCGGAGGCTCCTTGGTAATCAGAACTCCTGCCACTCTCAGTGAGGGCAGGGGTGCGACGCGGTGGGAACGATGGGCCAGGACTTTGCCCAGGGGCCTGTGGTGACAGGTCCAGGCCTCTCCCAGCTCTTGCCTCGGCCCCTGCCCTGGCCTCGCCCACACCCACGTCGGGAACCGGGAGCACAGCTTTCGGTGCCAGTCCTGCTGTGCCCCAGGCACTGGGTGCTGGCCTTTCCCCTCACCCCCTCGTTCCAAACCGGTCTGTCCAGCTGTCCACCCCAAAGAGTGAAGCCTCCCGCCCCACCTCAGACACCCCAAGAAAGCCAGAGTCCAAACGCGTGTGTAACTGTGGGGAGGGAGGATTTACTTGCAGGGGAAGGACAGGGAGGTCACAGAAGCGGTTCACGGCGGTGCGGGGGACCGCAGGGGGCATTCCCGCGGCTCAGGCGTCCCCAACCACGTCGGGGTGCTTCTGCCGCAGGTGCTTGTCCAGGGTGGCCCGCAGGCCGAAGGGCACGCAGCAGTGGGGGCACTTGAAGCGGGGCCCGCCAGGCCCCAGGCCGTGCATGCGGCGGTGGCGGTTGAGTTTGCTGCTCTGGGCGCAGGCGTAGGAGCAGAGCTCGCAGGCATAGGGCCGCTCGCCCGTGTGCGAGCGCCGGTGCACTGTCAGGTTGCTGCTGTTGGTGAAATGCTTCCCGCAGAACTCGCAGCTGCCCCCGGGCCCGGGACCCCGGCTCTTGCCCGCTGGCTTCAGCGTCTTCTTGGGTGACGTCTTCTGGTTCTTCTCGGGGTCAGTTCTCTGCTCCTTGGTGTCAGCTCCCCAGCCGTCCACGCCGGGGCCCACCTGGGCCCCACCGCCAGGAGCCCCAGGTTCCTGGACCCCCGCCGTGGCGGCTGCTCCGGCCCCCTCTCCGCCGCTGCACTGGAGGAGGCTGGCCGGGGCGGCGGCATGGGCGGCCGGCTCCGGAGGGGCGGCGGACGCCTGCTCCCGACTGGCATCGGCCACGCAGGGGCTCTGGGGCCGTAGCTGCTGCCGATGGGTCTTCTTGTGGCGGTTGAGCTTGCTGCTCTGGGCGCAGGCATAGGGACACTGGTCACAGGCGTAGGGCCGCTCGCCAGTGTGCGAGCGCATGTGCACCTTCAGGTTGCTGAAGGAGCTGAGGGTCTTCTTGCACACGGGGCAGGTGGGGCTCCGCCGGGTGGGACCCAGCCGGGGGCCCCTGGCCTCGGCTTCTGGCCCCGCCACCGCCGACACGGCAGCAGCCACCTCGGCCAGGCCCAGCAGCGGGGCCTCTGGGGCCTCGGGTTCCGTCTGGTAGATGGACAGTCCGTGGTCCCACTGGGCGTGGCGCAGCAGTTTCCAGGCTCCCGTGAACTGTCGGCCGCAGCGGAGGCAGCTCAAGGCCTTCAGGTCCTCGCGTTCTGCAGAGAAGAGAAGGGCCAGGGGTTAGTGTGTCAGGCAAGTCAGAGCAGTTGCTGTTCACAGCTGCTGGCTGGACACCTGCTGGGGGAGAGGCTCTATTCCAGGAGCTGAGAGGCAGCAGTAAGAGGCGAGACTCCCTGCCCTCAGGAAGCTGGTGTTCAGAGAGGTGGGTGGACAGACAAGAAGCAAGGAAAATCCGTGCAGTGGATGATAAGTACTTGGGGATTTTCTTTGTGTTTGAAAAATCTTCAAGAAAAACTTAAAAGTTAGAGCAGAGGGCTTCCCAGGTGGCGCAGTGGTTGCGAGTTCGCCTGCCGATGCAGGGGACACGGGTTCGTGCCCAGGTCCGGGAAGACCCCACATGCCGCAGAGCGGCTGGGCCTGTGAGCCATGGCCGCTGGGCCTGCACGTCCGGAGCCTGTGCTTCACAACGGGAGAGACCACAACAGTGCGAGGCCCGCGTACCGCAAAAAAAAAAAAAAAGAAAAAAAAAAGTTAGAGCAGTGATGGATGGGGGGGTGTTATTTTATTACTGGGGTTAGGAAGGCCTTGCTGAACAGGTGATCCAGTTCAGTGTGCTAGGCACCTGCCACCTGCCACACTCAGCTCCCTCTCACAACTTTCCTTCAAGGCAGGAAATAAGACCTCCATTTTCCAGACGGGAGAACTGAGGCAAAGAGACCTTTCCCCAAGGTCACACAGCTAGGAATGGGTGGAGCTGGGGTTTCAATCCAGAAACCCAGGGGGTGGGAGATAGAGGTTTTCAAGAAAAAAGATTGGTTTAATAATCAGAACAGCTCTTGATAACTGAGTGGGTTTCTGTGCCAGGCCCCAGGCTCCTGGGTCCCACACATGATCCCCTTTTCCTGCCTTACAGAAGAGGGAGCCAAGGTCTAAATGGGGAGAAGGCTTAGCAGCCACCTAGAGAGGTAGGGGTGCAGACGGTGAGCTAGGTTCCCCTCCCTCTTTATGGAACCCAAATCAAGACACTCCAGGTATTGTCAGTAAGGTACTGCCAGATCTATTTGCCTTCATGTCTTAGATGGGGGTGGCTTTCCTGATGCAACACCAGGGTCAAGAGCATGGGTGGGGTTGGAGAGGGCCAGCCTGGCCTGACTTCCAGCTGGCTCTCCTGCTCCCTAGCTGTGTGACCTTGGGCAAGAAATACCCCTCTCGGAGCCTCGGTTTCCTCATTTGCTAGAATATGGGGATCCTAGGGGTCTTCTCCCTTTAGACTTGCGGTGAGCTCAGAACCAGCTGAGAGTTGCGATCCGTCAAGCCCTCAGTAAACATTAGCTGAGGTGTCCATCATTCTCCCAAGTCCAAGCACCTAAGAGTGTATTGTTCTAATGATCCCATCACAGCCCCTCCTTTGCCCACCAGGCTCTAACTCTACAGCTGAGCCAATCATAATTCCTCCTCCCCCCCCTCCCACCACAGGACCCTCTCCCTGGCCCAGCCCTGAATATAATTCCATTTCTCAGAAATCCCCAGGAGCACATGGCCCAGAGACTGGAAATCTAGAGCTGTGGATGAGCCCCATAATCGACGCTGACCAAAAGCTCAGCTCGCCAAGAGTCTAGTACCAAGTTAAGAGTTTTAATTCCTACCCAAGGGGAGGAACCCAGGTATCCAGACACCCAGGACCTGGCTCAAAACAGGGCCTTCCCAGCATGCAAGGCTGGGAGATTCCATCAGGGAGGGAAACCAGAAGTCCCTTCCCTGGCTCTGAGCAAATGCCCAGCACCTCAATCAGAAGTGATAAAGAGGTGGAGGGGGTGACAACACCCCCCGGTCCAGCTGGCCTCAGCTCCCCTCCCCCAGGCCGCTGCCCTCCCCAGAGATGCCCCCTGCTGCCACACTGGTCCAGCCACCTGGCCAGTTATTTCTGGCCAAGGGGAAGGAGAAGTGAAACCAGATTGGGGGTGTGTGTATGGCAAATCCCCAGACCAGTCTTCTGGGGCTGGCCACACCCTGTGGGTGGCCCTGCTTCCCTGCCCAGCCCCCATCCTCACCCACCCCCCCCTCACCACCACTAGTCTCAGCCCTAGGACAGGGCAGGCTCTGGCCACGCCTAGGCTGCACCCAGTGGGGAGCCAGAAAGGGGAAGTAGTGCTCACTGCCCCGCCTGTCCAGGTCAGCCCCTTCTCCCACAGGAAGCTGGGCCCTTGAACTTGAGACCAGGGACTGCATTCCGGCTTTACTCACCTGATCTCTGGCAGGGGCTGGGGCCTCTGAAGAGCTGACAGCCCAGCTTCTTGTGGTCCATGAAAGCAGTGATGGCCTCCAACGGGAAAGTCTGCAGGCAGCGGCCGCAGGTCAACAGATCTGGGTGTTTGTCGGTCCACGGCTGGCGGTCTGCAGGGAGGAAGCGGGTGGTGAGCGTGGGGTGGGGCCAGGATGGGGCCTGGGGGTTCCGAGGGAGAGGGGAAACCCGAAAGTCACAACGGGGGCTGGAGGCCAGGACCTGGCGAGGAAAATAAGGCAGGGGGGTTAGTGCGGGTGGGGGGACGCGGGGGGCGGTGCCCCGAGAAGGAGGTCCCACGAGAGAGAGAGAGAGAGAGAGAGAGAGAGAAAGGAAGGAGAGAGGAGAGAGAGGGGAGGGAGGCGGGCGGGCCCGGGGCAGGGGCAGGGGGCGCTCACCGGGAAGGTGCGGGGTCAGCGGCGTCCACGGCGCCCACTGGTTGCGCAGGCCCAGGGCGTGGAAGAGGCCGCCAGCGGGCACGGGGCCGGGGGAGTGGCGGGGTTCGCCCTCGAACCGCCCCGGCGCGGGCATTTCCTTCGGGTTGAAGGGCCCTAGCCGCCGGGCCTGTAGGGGCCGCGGGTCCGGCTCGAGCTTCACATCGATGAAGAGGTCCGGCATCTCCATCTCGTCGTCTGAGTTGGCGGCGGGAGCGGGCTCTCTTCGGCGAGGCATGCAGCCGGCCTTGCGGCGGGACATGGGTCACGGGCAGGCGGACTGGCGGGCGGAGGACTCGCGAGCCGTGCGCGCTCACACCGAAGCGCCCAGGTGAGTGACTGCGGCGACCCGCGGCGAACTCTTACACGTGCTGGCCCGGCCCGTGGCTCCGCCCACCGAGGCGGGGCCTGACGCGAGAGGACTGCCCCACCCTTAGCCAAACTTAATCTGGACCATGCCCCCTGCGTTTCTCTAAGTGATCAAATCTTAACCATAACGAGTTCACACAACCACGCATAGAAACAGCTATTCCTGATCCCGTTTTCGGGCTGGTAGAAACTGAGGCACAAGGTGCCCACACACACCCCCAAGCGAGAAAGTGGTAGGGGCCACGTTTCTACCTAGACGCCTGATAGTAATCTGGTCTGTTCCATTAAACGCACTACAATAAAAGTTCCTCGGGCAAACATTGATTGAGCGCCTACTATGCACCAGGTTCTGGACCAAGTACTGGGGATGCAGCAGGGTACAAAACACAATAACCCTGGCCTCATGCAGTTTATTCGTTCAGGGAGACAGGACTCTCAACAAGATAACTATGTAAAATACAGAGTGCCTTCCGTGACACCTGCCATGGAGAAAAAAAAAAAATCCAGGAAGGATTATAAAGGGACAGGATTACTGGGGTGACGGGTGGGCCTCAATTTTCTCCCCATGCTGGGCCTGCGTATTCTAGGAGTTCTGTAGTGATTAAGTTCTGTATTGATTGAGTTCTGTGAGAAAACGAGGTCAGCTTCAAGGGCGTCTTTTGACCACTTTAAAGCCTTTGGCTTTTCTGAGATGGAAGCCCTGGGAAGGTTTTGAGCAGAGGAGGGTCGTGATCATATACATTGACTCTGCTCTTAGACCTGAGATCGTCTTCAAAACCAAATAGCCAACCGTCTTGCCTCCCTCGGATGGGGCCTCCTCGAACTTCCCTCCTCAAAGCTGCTCTCTCTGATCACTGTTTGAAGTGGCATCAACACCCTGCCCCACCCTTCAACCCTGCGAGTTTTCTTTTCTTCCTGGCACCAACCACATCAGATCTAGAACTGTTTGTTTACTGTCCTCTCACCCCTTCCCCCAACACAAGCCCCCTGAGGTCAGGGCCAGGGTCAGTCCGCCCCTGCCGTGTCCCCAAGCCCAGCACTGAGGGAATTTCACATGCTAATCTCCACTGCAGGCCTGAGGGTTCCTCATATTGTTATTCAGGTCTCAGCTCAATTGTCCTCCTGAGAGCAGAGGACCTCCCTGACCACAGGATCTAAAGGAGCCCCACCCTGCTGAAGGCCTTACAATTTACACTCCATGACCTCCATCTGTCCCCAGTTCCCTCCTGGGCCTCAGGTTTCACATCTGTTACCTAAGGTGGCTTCTTCAGTGCCACCTCCCCTGACCACCCAACCTCCCCCAACCCTGCCACCCATTATCCCATTGCCCTTATTTTATTCCTTTTACATCCTTGTCAAGCCCTGAAGGATCTTGTCGATGTATTTGTTCATGTAATAACCTGTGGTGTCCCTCTCAGCCTCCCTAGAATGTAGGTTCTGAGATGGCAGGAGCCGAGTCTGTCTTGTTTGCAAATAGAGCCCCTAATCGTTCATAGTTCAGTTAACAAATTGTGTATTGAGCTGCTATGTGCATTCTTTCGATATTTGCAGAGGGTCTGCGTACCAGGCACCGGGTCTTGGGGGTCCGCCGGGAAGCCAAGGCCCACAAAGGCCTGCCTTACTGAAACCGTGTGGAAGAAGTGAATTCTGAGCCCACAGCAGCACGTTTCCACCTCAGGCCATACATTTTGCCTTTCAGGGCCTCAGTTTCCCCCTGTGTAAGATGGGGCTGCGGGGAGGGCTGCAGGAATGACCGCCTCTCCCAGCTGCTGCTCTCCAAGGCTTTTTGCCTGGTGTGTGGCTGCTGAGAGCATGATCAAGTAGGGAAGGTGGGGTTCGGACTGGAGGTGAGGGGTAGGAGTGTGCACGTGTAGGGGGATGGGGGTGCCAAGTCCAATCTGCACTTAACTCAGACGGGAGGCGCCTCAATTTCTTCTTCTGTAAAATGGGTATCCTGGACGTCCCCACCTCGCAGACTGGTGGATCAGCTCTAAGCGCTGGGCCAAGCCGCTGGCAGGGTGGCGCCCGGGTCTGTGCTGGCTTCCGAGCCCGCGAGCCCGCCCGAGACCACGTGGGGCGGTGGCGGCGCGGGCGGAACCCAGGCTCGGCGGCTCGTGGCCCGCCCGGGCCTCTGCAGCTGGGGCGCCGGCGGAAGTGGGTGCTCCAGCCGCTGCAGACCTCGGTGAGTGCGGGATTGTTGCTGGTGGGTTGCGAGCACTTTCCCGTTCCCCGGCACCGGCCCGGGACGCCCACCCGCGTGCAAGACCGGGAGTGGCGGCAAGAGTCAAGTCCGCGCCTGCAACGCCGGCTGCTGGGACGTTCTTGTCCCCGAACGCCTGCACCCGGGACTCTGGTTCCGAACGCAGCAGCGCACACACTCCCGCGCCCGGGGTGGAGGTGGGGGCGGAATGCACCCCCTCGGGAAAACAATAACGACGACGATATTATAACAGTAATAACGGCTGCAGTCTTGAGACTCCCGCCTTTCCCGGAGTGGAATCGCTCGCCTAATCTGAGCCGGGAGGTGGGAAGAACGTCCAGCCCAGGGCGGAGTGGGGAGTGGACGCCTGAGGGCCGGGAGGACCTACTTAGTGTAAGAAAAGGAGAGCGATGCGTGGCCAGAGCGGAATTGAAAGGAAACTGACCGGCCCAGTGGGCGGAGGTTGGGGGGGTGGGATTCTGCATTTGGGGTCCCGATCCTCACGGGGTTTGTGTGTGTATGTGTGTGTGTGGCCCATTTAACTAATTTGCATCCAGACAGGGCCCACCCATGAGGTGGGTGTAGGCTGGTCAGTATCTCGGTTAAGCTGGTAACTCAGCTGGTTCTCTACCTGGCAACTGAAGGGTTAGTTTGTCCACGGAACAGATCGTTCCCATTTTCTAGAAAGTGAGCACTGAGGCCCCAGGGATGGAAGTCTGTGAATCTCCTGGCCCTGCCATTGACCAAAGCGATGGGCACTTTAGTTTTTCTAGTGGGAAAGGGGTTTGGACATTTTTTCCTGAAACCTGGGCAGGAAATCCTTGGCTTGGAGACTGACAGGATAAAGGACTCTCAGCCTTGGTCACCAGGGAGAATGGATAATACCTGCTTTTGCTGTCTTGGGCACACCCTATGTGACCTTTCTCAAACCAGTTTCTTATCAGGTCACACCTTGACTCCCAAACCTCCAAGGACTCCCCTATGCTGGCTGAAAAAAACTGCCCTGCTCCCAGGGCAGGGGTGATGGCCCTGACTCTTGTTATCAGACCAGCCTGGATTTGCTCCCTTTTCCTGCCAATCACAAGCTTGCACCCAGTCAATGATTTGGCATCATCCAGCTTCAGTTTTCTCTTCGGGAAAATGGGGCTTGTGCAGGTATGACCAAATCTTTTTTTTTTCCTCCCTAATGTAGAAAACATGACTAACATGTTTAATTAGTCATGTAATTAAACATGTTTAATCCAGGGATTGAACGTAACTCTTTGTCCACTTGCATAATTCCCATCAGTCCTTCATTAAGTACTAGCCCTAGAGAGGAGAGTGTTTCTCCTAAAATACTTAAGTGTTAACCTAGGTTGGGAGAGAAAGCCCTGGGAGCTGATGACCCTTGACTAAACTGGGAATGCAGTGGTCAGATACATTAGAAAATGTATATATCCCTTAATCTCATTCACAGCCAGTAATGGTGAGATCATGAAAATGTACCAATCCCATTAATTCCATTCACTGTGGTCTTGCCCATCAGGCAAAAACCAGGGAGTCTTCCTCGGCTTTGCTCAGTCCATTAGCAAATAGTGAGGGCTCTCAACCCTCAAAAGATAGCCTAATCCAATCACTTCTCCCCACCCCAACCCCCAACCCCCATCCCAGACACCTGTCATCTTCCACACCGCCCACTGCAGTGGCTTCCTCACCAGGCTGTCTGCTTCTCCCTTTGCTCTCATAGTCCATTCTTCCTTGCAGCAGGCAGAGGGATCCCGTGATTACCGCAAGTCAGACCCTGCCCCTCCTCTGCTCAGAACCAGCCCCCGGCGAGACCCAAGTCCTCAAGCCCCTGCACATTCTGCCCTTGCCCCAGCCGCCTGCATACTGGCCTCCTTGCTGTGCCTCAGTCTCCCTTCCATGGGCTTTGCATTTGCTGCTCCCTCGAACTGCAATGCTTTCCCCCCAGATCTCCACATGGCTCAATTCCTCATTTCATTCTGGTCTTTGCTCCAAAGTAACCTTATCAGAGAGATCTTTCCTGAGCCCCTTCCTGGAAACCACCTCTTATCCCCCAGGCAGGGCCAGGTGTCTGCTCTGGGCTCCTGAGGCCCCCGGGCTCCTTCATTCCAGCCCTGCCCACTCTGGGTTGTCATTGTCTGGAGACCTAGTGTGTGTCATCCACTGGACTGAGAGCCCAGGAGGGCAGGGCTGGGCTCTTTCACTCCCAGCTGTGTCTCTAGCACCACCCAGCATGGGCCAGGCACAGGGCAGGCACTCAGATAACAGGGGGAGTGAATCCTTCCACAAATGTTTACTGAGTCCCCCCTGGCTGCCAGGCCCTAATTAGGGCTGGGGATGGAGCTGTGAAGTAATCAGATATGTCCCTTCTCTCGAAGGCTTATGTTCTGTGGCAGAACAGACAGCGCATAGGCAAACAAGTAAATGCATATTGTCAGGAGGTGATAGTGCTGTGGCAAAAAAAGATACTGCAGGGTGAAAGGGCTATTATTTTCCTCCCTGTAAAGATGATGTTTGAGCAGCGAGCTGAATGAAGTAAGGGAGGAAGGTGAGTCATGTATCTGGAAATATATATATGTCTCCCAAATGGAAGAGGGTTCCAGTCAGTAAGAACAGCACGTGCAAAGGCCCTGAGGCAGGAATGTGCTTGGCATTTTCAGGGACTGACACCGGTGACCAAAGGGTAGAAGGGTGGGAGATGAGGTCAGAGAGGTGATAGAGCCTTGTAGCCATCGTGAGGACTTTTGCTTTTGCGCTGGGTGGGATAGGAGCCATGGGAGGCCTCTGAGCAGAGGAGGGGTGTGATCAGACTTAGTTCTAACAGGAAGACCCCTCTGACAGCCATGTGGGGAACAGACTGGGGTGAAGGTGGAGGCCAGGAGCCCAGTGGGGAGGCTACTGAAATAGTCCAGGTGGGAGGTGATGGTGGCTAGACCGAGGAAGGGTCAGAGCAGGGATGGTGAGAAGTTCCCAGATGCTGGATGTATTTTTCAGGGTGGAGCTGACAAACTTGACTGAAGGATTGGTTGTGGGTGGGAGAGAAAGTGAGGAGTCCAGGATACTGCGGATGTCCTTTGCCTGTGCGATCAGCAACCTCCCCCTGAAAGATCTTCCTGACAGCCCTAGGAGGTCTTTTTTTAATGTTTCATTTCACGGATGAGGAACCGGATCAGGGAGGCTGCTCCTAGAGTTGCAGTGATCTGCCCAGACCCCTTGTAGTGAATCTGGGAGGGCTGGGACCCACCCGCTCTCCCCCAGACCACACCCTCATCCCCTATGCCAGGTGGTGAGCTGCGGCCTGCCGCAGGTTCTCATATGGCTCAAGAGCTGAGAGTGGGTTTTGCATTTTTAAGTGGTTGAAAAACTAAAAAAATCTTTTGTGGCGCATGAAAGTATATAAAATTCAATATCAGTGTCCCAAGAAGTAAGGTTTTATTGGAGCACCGCCATGTTTCCACGTGTTGCTGTATTGTCTGGCCACTTTCCTCCTACTCTGGCAGAGCTGAATAGTTGTGACAGAGACAGAGACAGGCCCTTGAAGCCTAAAATATTTACCATTGCGCCCTTGACAAAGGAGATTTGCTGACCTTTGCTATATGTTCTGCTAATAAGATTTGGGCCAGCAGCGGGGGTGTCCTATCAGGAGGACTTGGCAGGTAGTTACAAAGGGCCTGGGAAAGATCCAGGTGAGGGACAGAAAGAGGTTTGGGGAGTGCGTGACAGTAAGGCTAGGAGAGGGAGTTCAGATTCCTGAGGGAGGATCTAACATTTTTTAAGGGACGCGGAAGCATTCCGATATGTCCCTTCCTTTTTAAAAACTAGAATTTCAAAGTTCTTTTGAAAAGGTTATACAGATTCAAAACGGCTCCAAATTCAAACAGAATTTAAAAGGTGAAAAAAGGTAGACAGCTAAAAGTCTCCACCCCGGGCCCTCCATGGGCTGAATGACCCATGTGCGTTTGCAGTTTTTTTTGTTTGTTTGGTTGGTTTTAGGCCGTGCCACACGTCTTGTGGGATCTTTGTTCCCCAACCAGGGATCGAACCCAGGCCTCCAGCAGTGGAAGTGCCGAGTCCTAACCACTGGACTGCCAGGGAGGTCCCTGTTTGCAGTTTTCCTGGAGACTGTCAAACTGCCCCTCTTTGAGTGTCCGTGAGGCTGTGAATATGTTCATGTGTTCAGTAGTCATTGTTACCCACCGTCCATCTGTTTGTCTGTATCAGTGGTTCTGAACCAGAGGTGATTTTTTTTTTTGTCCCCCAGAGGACATTTGGCAATAGATGGAGATCTTCTTTTTAAAAAAATGGCTTTATTGGGTTGTAATTCTCCTACCAAAGTATTCACCAGTGGAGACATTTTTGGTTGTCGCAGCAGCTTGGGGTAAGGGTGGGGGACGCTCCTGCATCTAGCGTGTAGAGGCCAGGGATGCTGCCCAAACCCTACACCTATGCACAGGACAGCACCTTACAACGCGACAAAGAATGGTCCAGGCCCAACTGTCAATAGAGCCGAAGTTGAGAAGCCCTGGTCCTTTGCTCTGCAGGATCCTTTCTTGCAAGGAGCTGACAGTTGAGCTGCAGAGACAGGAAGAGCCTCACAAGAAAAAGGACAATCCCAATCACCCCTGTACGGTGAGTGGCCCTGGGATGGGACGCTGGGTGCCTGATGCGTGTCAGTCACTTCAGTTAATCACTTTAGAGAAGAGGTGACTGAGCCACAGGGAGGGGAGGGGTGCACCTGCCTGAAACTTAGGTCCTTCTCTCTCCCTCCTACTCACGAAGCCAGCATCTCCCTGCATGCAATCAACAGCAGTGCAGTGGCCGGGGAGGGTGAATTAAGAGTTTGGGATTAACATATCACCACACTACTATATGTAAAACAGATAACAAGGACCTACTGTAGAGCACAGGGAACTCTACTCAATATTCTGTAATAACCTATAAGAGAAAAGAATCTGAAAAAGAATATATATATATATATACACATATATATGTGTAACTGAATCGGTTTGCTGTACACCCGAAACTAACACAACATTGTAAACCAACTATACT